TGTGTCAAGAGCTGGGAATACTAAGCACTGTGCAGCTGGAAGGACTTGGAATGGCATCAAAGTCCAGAAGTTACAAATACACAGATCTGGATTCAAATCCTGCCTCCATCACTTTCTAGCTGTGTGTCCCTGGGCAAGTAATGGAACCTCCCTGAGTCTTGGTTTCTTTTCCTATAAAACAGATTCTTGGTTTCCTCAGCTGTGAAATAATAGCTTATCTCCTAAACTGGTTTTGAGGGTTGAGATATGCCTATCAAGAGTTAGGAAGGAGCTAGGCTCAGAGCAAGCTCTTAGGAATTGTGGCTCTTGTTTTTAATCCTCGATGACCTCTCACTTCCTCACATCTCCCCTGCATGCTGTCTTGTCTAGTCCCAGCTGTGTTCAGGACAAAGCCCCATCTGAGATGGTTTCTAATAGACCTTCTCCCACATCTGTGAGGCCACATACAATTGTTAAAATAGAGGATAATTTTATTTTATTTTTTTACTGATTACAAAAGTATTAAGTCCATGGTAGGAAAAAATATATATAAGCAAATAAGTAAAAAGAAGAAAATAGAGATTACACATAACTTCACCAGCCATAGATAATCACTATTGACAGTTGGGTGACTTTCCTTCCTGATTTCTTTTTAACGCACGTGTAACAGGATGCGAAATGCAAGTTTCCTGTCGTTTTTTTATTTTGGTGCAGAGGCAACGAATGCCAAAGACCACCCAGGCAGGGCATGCTGAACTGGTTCTACCAGCATTAACCCATCACCCACCTCTGGTTGTCACGGAGTGTGTGTGTGAGAGAGACAGAGAGGGAGACAGACAGACAGACAGACAGACAGACAGAGAGGAGAGGCTGGTTGTGGGGGATTTCTTTTGAAGAGGATTGTTGATTATTGTTTGGTCCCCACCGCAACACTCCCTCCACCCCGGAAGGGAGGGGTGGGGGTGTGTCTCTTCCTCACTTTAGGGTAGAGGGACTTGAAGGGAACCACTTGGCGAGTTTCAGATGTGCCTCAGGGTTCAGGGAGCAAGGAGAAGGGCAAGTCTAAGGCAATGGCCCACTCCTCCATCACATGCACTTCCCTAGCAGACAGCTCATCATGCTGAATTATAAATGTCCGTTGAGTTGTCTGCCTCCCCAACTTGTCTGGAAATGTCTTTCAGACAGTCTGGATCTTTTACCCCCTGCCCCTGCAGAAGGCCAGGCACTTAGATGCTTCATAAATGGTGAATGAAGGGAAGACTGAAGAAGCTGCGGAATAGAAAGTGGAAAGAAAAAGGATTTTAGAACCACACAGATCTAAATTCAAATCCTGCCTCTGCCACTTTCTAGCTGTCTTCCCCTTGGGGAAGTCATGTCATCTCTCTAACCTCATTTTTCTCACTTGTAAAATGAGGATAATTTGAGTATCTGTTCTTCAGAGTTTTGAATGAAATGAGATAAATCACTAGAGCATAGTAGGCGTTCCAGCAAGGACGAATGAATGAAGACACAGTAGCATTGGAAACTGCAAACCAGCTGGGCCTTCTGAGAATTTTCTGTCTGAACTGATACAGTTCTGGAACTTCCAGATCCTGGTTTCCTTCCTTGCTCCTTCCTCAGTTGTCAGCATCATCATCATCAGCAGCAGCAGCAGCAGCAGCATCAATTATCATCATCTTTATAGCAGCAACAACAGCTGCCGTTTGTATGGCAATTCACAGAAATTCTGTGGCCTGATCTCATGTAACTCTCACAATAATCCTGTGAGGTCTGTATCATAATCCCCATGTAACAAATGAGGGAACTGAGGCCCACAGACGGTGAATGACTTGCCCAATAGGCACAAAGATCTGAGACCTGAGGGCACTGCTTTTGGCCTTCCTTAAACAAATTGACTCAACATGTACTCAGCACTCACTGTGTGCCAGGCCCTTGAAGTTAGTGGCGTGGCTCCTGCCCCCTTAAAGATGAGTGGGGAGGACAGACATGCAAGTGAAAACAGTACCTGTCATTCTACACGGTAAGTGCTGTCCATGAAAACCCCAGACAAAATGACAGGGGTTTTGCTGGGGGCAGTCGGCTGGGGAGCAGGTCCAGTCCACTATTTTCTCTCTGTGGCTTTGGGCAAGTCACTTCACCTCTCTGGGCTTTAACGTCTTCACCTGTAATATAGGGATTATAATAATAGTGCCTCTCTCATACAATCACTGTGGGGTAACAGAGAGACTGTATGTCTGTAGCACAGTGGCTGCCACAAGCAAGCACTCAATAAATTGCAGCTGGTCCTTCATTATTGTAACCTAGATGTCAGCAGTGGCCTCCTGACCCCTTGAGAGCTTCACAGGATGAGCCCAAGCACCCATTCCAAAACCCTCTCCAAGATTACTGCAAATTCCCAGGAGGTTTTATTTCTCCCCTGTTCAACTCCTGCTTCGGCCTGTGCTGTCTTGGTTAGCACTATACCAAAACAGATGTACAACTTGACCCCTTCAGCCATTTCCACCAACACCCTAGTCAGGGCAGCCTCGGTGAGTACAGAAGACTTTTTTGAGGATTTTGAGGGATGGGAGACAGAGGAGGAGATAACACCATAGTTACAAAAAACCTCAGGGTGAGCTGAAAATACCCTGGTTCCCAAGACAGCCTCAGCTGGCTCTTCTGCTTCTCTCGACACTGTCCCCAGCCCCTCAGCTGTGGGCCAACTCCTGTCTCCTGGCAATGGACACTTGCCATTGTTTGGCTATTGTCTCCACTCTCTCTTCCTAAGGAGCTCTCCTATTTCCGTTCCAGGCATTATTCCACTGTGTGCAGCCTTAGGGGTTGGGGAGGTTGGCTTCCTCTCCTATCTCCCCCTCACCGGCCCCCACCCCACAAGTCAAAGCACTACAGGGCTCCTCTCTGGCCTTCAGGTAGCCCCCATAAGGATGGGAGGAAATGCTCGCTGTCATTCATGGAAGTTGATGCTGGTGGGTGGGTGACCCTGGCTGGCTTCCTGCTGCCTACCCTTCCCTAATACCCTCCGTTCCTGCACATTTCCCAAACCCAGTCCTGCAGTTCTGGTAGATTCTCTGAGTCTTTGGTAGCTTAAAACAGTCATTTTAGGAACAAATCCAAATTCCAGTCTTCTTCTTTGCTGCCTCCACAACAGCTGCTTCTCAGAGCTTCAAGACCGCACCTTCACTCTGAACAGTTTTTCAACGTTTTTTCCCAATGAAAGCCTCTGTTTCCTAAGAGAGGAGGTCACGCGCTGAGGATCTATGAGCTGCATCTGATTTGCAGGGATGTTTAAAAAAATAAATCAACATTTAAAAATTGAGAGAGGGGCCAGCCCGGTGGCACAAGTGGTTAAGTGCATGTGCTCTGCTGCGGCGGCCCGGGGTTCGCCGGTTCGGATCCCGGGCACGCACCGATGCACCACTTGGCAAGCCATGCTAGGGCGGCATCCCATATAAAGTGGAGGAAGATGTCGCACGGATGTTATCCCAGGGCTAGTCTTCCTCAGCAAAAAAAAGAGGAGGATTGGCAGATGTTAGCACAGGGCTGATCTCACAAAAAAAATAAAATAAAAAAATAAAAATTGAGAGATTACACATAAAAATCTAGATCTGTGGCTTTTCTTATAAACTCAGAAAATCTGGCATCATAGGACCCACATTCCCCGCAAGGAACATGTTGGCCTGAACAGAGAGCAGGGTCCCTGCTCTTCAGACAGGTTTTTCTTAGGCCCCTGCCTTCTGGCCTTAATTTATTTCTCCTGCTTGACCCCTGTAGGCTTTCAACTTCATCACCTTTGCTAGGAAGCATTTCAGTGTCAGTTCCCACCCTCTGTTTCATTATTATAATAAAGTTGGGTCTACGAATGAATTTGCTAAGTTCACAAAGGGCACCCTAGGCAGAAGGTACAACAACAGCAGTCACTTAAGTATGCAAGCGATGGCTGTTCCTGGAAGGAACAAGGCAAGGGGCCCAAAGGGACTGGGTCTCTGGTGCAAGAAGGCAGTGGGGCTGAAAAGGTTAAGCTGGGGCTTGTATGAAGGGTCTTAATGCCCTCTTATAGGGCACTAGGGGCCAGTGTGGGGTTTGAAGCAGGGCGACACAGCATGAGGTGTGCATATGAGAAATGTGGCTGGGAAGCTCGTGGGGCAGGCAGATAGAAACCCTCCCATCCCCCGCTGTCCCCGCAGGAAGCCCAGCGAGAGGCTGGGGCAGTGTTCCAGGAGGGCGAGAGATGCTGCGGCCGACTGCGTGGCAGCGGCGGTGGGAATGGCTGGGAGGACGGCAAGGGAGGGATTCCGGAGGCAGCCTTGTTCGGGAGTGGGTAAGCCTGACCTTGACGGAAAAGACTGCAGGCGCTAAGGCTGCCACTCGCTCGCCTCCCCTCCCCTCCCCCGCGCCGCAGGGGACTGCGGTGGAATTCCCGGCCCCTCGCCGGAGCGCCCCCCCCGCACAGCTGCGGCACGCGACGGGCAGGGGCGGGATGGCGAGGTGGCAGGATGGCGGGGATGCCCGTCTTCCCTGGAAGGCTGGGGAGGGGAGGGAAGGGGAAGCTGGTCACGTGTCGCCGCCACCGGGCGCAGCGCGATTGGCTGGTCCAGGCAGCCCGGGCTGCTCGGGTTTGCAGGCACGGAGCAGCCCCCTCCCCTCGTTCCGGCGCCCGGGCTGGAGTGGGGGTGGGGGTGGCGAGGTGCACTGGTTCCGCGCGCGAGCTGGATATGGCGGGGGTCGTGCTGTCTCCGCAGCTCGTATCTGTGCCAGGTCCTACGCTGCTCACTACGGTCCTCACTGCAGCTTGGGAGGTCTGGTTATTGTCTCCATGAACATATCCATTCTCTGCTTCTCTCCTGCCTTCCCCGACTTGCCTCTCTTCCTACCGGCAGGCCAGCTTTGTTTGGTCTGGCTGAAGCAGGTTTCTGTTAACTTGCCACAATTTTGTAGTTTTGGGCAAATTAATTAACCTGGCTGGAGGTGGGGAAGATCAAAACAGAAATCCCACAGACACCTAAGTCCCACACATCCAAACCAACCTTATTATCTCCCCAAACTGTTCCTTCTTTGTGTCCCCATATTTGTTTTCAGTAGAAACCCAAAAGCCATCTCCATCTCACTGTCCCCCATCAGATCTATGACAAGTCCAATCAAATTTACTCCAAATATTTCTTTTTGTGTGTGTGAGATCAGCCATGTGCTAACATCTGCCAATTCTCCTCTTTTTTTGCTGAGGAAGACTGGCCCTGGGCTAACATCCGTGCCCATCTTCCTCCACTTTATATGGGACACCGCCACAGCACAGCTTGCCAAGCAGTGCGTTGGTCTGTGCCCGGGATCCAAACCGGCGAACCCTGGGCCGCCGGAGCGGAGCGCACAAACTTAACCGCTTGCGCCACTGGGCCGGCCCTCCAAAATATTTCTTAAACCTCAGCATCCAGTGTTTTTCCTTAGCATTTATCCTGATTTGTAACTATGTTTATTTATAACTGTTTTTGTATGTTTTTTTCCCGCTGACTGTAAGCTCCAATGAGATCAGGGACCTTGTCTATTTTGCTCATTGCTATATCGCCAGACAATACCAGGCACATAGTAGGTGCTTAGTAAATGTTAACTGAATGAATAGATAGATGCATAGCAAGTCCTGTGCTAGGTACTAGGTATGGAAGGGGGCACAGACGAAATATGCCGGTCTATCCTCAAGAAGTCATCTATCCCACAAACATCCCTGAGGCCTTCTCTACACCAGGCCCCGGGAGGGGCCAGTGCACAAGATGAGTAAGACTCCATGTCTACCTTCCCCCCCATTCTAGGGGGACCACACATGACTAACCTAGACAATAAGACTGGTATTGGAGGGGTCAGGTGGTGGTACATACCGACCTCTGGAGTCAGTAGAGTCCAGGATTTAGAATCCAATGATCTGGCTTCCCAGACCAGTTTTGCCGCCTTCTGGTTGTGTGACCACAAATCTCTCTCTCTGAGGCTCCATGCTGTCATCTTAAAAATAGGGATAACAATACCATCTCAAAGGTCTGAGAGATATGAATGAGATAAATGAAAGCAACAAGTGCCAGGTTTTATGACAATGTTGAGTGTAGATGTGTGACCATACCTTCTAGTTTGCCTGGAACAGATCAATTAACACTTGTTGAACCAGAGCAATCCGTAATAGCATTCCCTTTCATTCTCAAAAGTATCCTGGATTTGGATAGTAAATTATGTGGTCATCCTAGTAATAGGTGTGACACTAGAGTTATCTACATTGTGCCCTGGAGACACAAAGGAGGAAGGGAGGTGGGTCTGACGGTAGAAAGGGGGGTGGTGACCATGGAAATGAGCCAGGAAGTATGCATGGGATGACACCAAGTAGAGAGGGATAAGAAAGGCATAACAGGCAGAGAAACCAACATTTGCAAAGAAGCACAGCTTGATAATTCTGAGCACGTTTAGATAACGTCAAGAAGCCCAAATGCCTCTATTCCCAGAAGCACAGAAGGAGATGAGGCTGGCAGTGGGAACTGTAGAAAGTTTTCAGTAGGGGTTGATATGAGCCCATGGCTTCACAAGCTAGACCAATGGAGGAGCTGAGGCGAAAGTCCAGGCAAGAGAGATAATGAGGCCTGAACCAGGGTGAGGTTCCATATGCACTTTGGAGGTTCCACAAGCACTTTGGAGGCAAATAGGACTTGAATTTCGTGGTCGCAGGACAGGTCAGAGGCAGGAGGATTTCCAGGTGGATGGGGAGGCCATTCACTGAGGTGGGGGGGGGGAGGAAGGGCCAGGAGACCCACGAGACAGGAGGCAACCCAGATTGGACTGACTAGGCCCAGTGGCATTCAGCATCCTGATCCAGAGGAAAAAGGTAGGGGTCACAACAGATAGCGGTCACTCCTGAGGCCAGAGGAAGGTGCAGTCAGTATTCAGGTGACATCTGATTAAAATTAGCTTTCAGAGCAACCTTGAAAGGCAAGAGAAAGCTCAAAATAGAGCCTCAAGTAAAGAAAGAGCAGGTCTTGCAGGCTAACTTCATTGTATGTATGGCTCTCCTTGATCAAAATGTTCCCACAATGCCCCACTACCTAACAGAATATAGGGTGAGGTCTTCAGCCTGACGTTCAGGGCTCTTGGTGACCTGGCGCCAACCTATCTCTGGTGAACTTTTCATATTTCACTTGCTTATGTTTGGCCCCTCCCTTCTTGTGAAAACACAAGAATTGCTCCTCCCCCTGGTCCAACCACATGGTCCAAGTGAGGACTATCAAACATGGCATCCCATGCCCCATGACCAAGGGCCCAGTTGCCATAGTACTTGTCCCAAATGGTTACACAAGCCAAAAATCACTCTTTTGGCCTAGGCTAGTTCATGTTGGGCTTCTTTTCCTTGTATCCAAAGGAGTCATTATACAGAACCTTTCCATTCTGTCATCTCTCTCACATCCTTTCAAACATTCTCTACTCCTGTCACACTCTGCCACTCACACTTCCTCAGACTCAGATCATGCATTCATACCCCTAAGCCTTTCCTCCAGCTCCCTCAGTTTGGAATGTCCTTTCCCCTTCTTACAACTTGTCAACTCCTACTCATCCTTTGAGACCCAGCTCAAAGGGCTCTTCCTCAGGAAAGCCATCCCTGACCACCCTGAGCAAGGCTTACTAGGCCCTCCTCTGGCCTGTCACAGCTTTTTGTACATGTCCTCATCACCTAGTATCCCAATGATCTGCTTTCTTGTCTGTAAGCCCCATGAGGCTATGTTTTTCATCTCCATGACCCTAGTGTCTGGCAAAGGGCCTACCACACAGTCAGTATAACAAATGTTTACTGAATGAGTGAATAGATGAGTGAGAGTCCTTCTCTCTCTCATGCCATCTCCCTGAGTCACTACTCAGTTTTTATCAAGTGAAGACACAGAAATAAAGTGGGAAGAATTGCTTTAGTCCGTGATTCAAAGTTGGTGGATTCAGGGGAGAATAAAACCCAGTAGAAATGGGGCCATTGCAAAGTCCAATGGCATTTATGAGAGGTCAGTTTTCTGCCAAAGCACTGATGGTGGCAGCTTTGAGCGGAGGCAGAGTTTGTTTGGGAGCCAGAACCAAGATAAGCAAACACTCGGTGTGTTGAGCTTTTCAGCAAGCTAGGATTCTAACAGCTGTTTCTGTCCGCTGCACAGGGAGAAGCATCTGAAAGCCATCTGGGTCTGCCTGGAATCAGGGGTCCCCGTCTTCTTCAGCACAATCTAACCCAAGGAACAAGTCAGCCCTCTCCCTGACCCTTCATCCCCACCAGAGGCACACACCTCCTCAAAGGGGGCTCTGTAACTTATCAGGCCATTGGGCACTGAGAACAGAGTCAAAATTGACTATAGGAAACTGTGGCTGAGATAATATTGCTTATTAAGTAGTCCATGGTTCCCCTCTACATTTCCCAGCCTCCCTTACAGTTAAATTGGGCCTGTGTAACAAGTTCTGGCTAATAGTCTGTGAATGGAAATAACATGTCATTTCCAGGCTGAAGTATTTAATTGCAGGTGCACAACCCTCCAGCTCTCTCTTTCCCCTATTGAGGCAATCCTAAAAGCCTCGTGTTGAGGTGGTGGAGCCCAGGATGGAAGGGGCCTGGATCTCTGAGTTACCTAATGGAGTAGAGGAGAGCTACTCTGGAAAGTACCTTGACCCATAGCAAATTTTGCATGAGTGGGAAAATATACCATTGTTGTATTAAGCCATTGAGATATTTGGGTTGTCTGTTAGCACAGCAGAGTGTAGCCTCTCTGACCAATATAGAGAAATTAATTGTTGTTTTAGACATCCAGCATCTTCCTTCTTCCTCCATGAAGGGAAACATTCCTCTTCCTTATAAGACTCTTCAGTATTGCCAAATCCAGGGGTCACTTCCCTGTTCTTATCTTTCTTGATTTCTCAGCAGCATTTGTCACAATTAACCACTCCTCCCCAGAAACATTTTATCTTGGTGTTTGTGACATCATGCCTGCTTGGTTTTTCTCCTATCTCACAGCCCCTGCTTCTCAGTTTCTTTTCCTGGCTCTTCTTCCAGTTTTACCTCAAAAGTTTGAAGTTTCTCAGGACTTATTCCTGGGGACCTTTCTCATGGTTTTAAATACCACCCATGAAAAAGACAGCTGGTTACCTTCCAGTATTCATTCTACCATCCTTGATTAATAACAGAGCCCCTATTTTTAAGGGCACATTGTGCCCAGTTAAAAGACTACACTTCCCAGTACAGCCATGTGACTATAGTTTGGCCAATGAGATGTAAGCAAAAATGTGCAGGACTTCCAAGGCAGCCTTCTTAAAAAGAAAAGGGTGCATCTTTCTTCCCTTTTTCCTCCTCACTGTCTGGAATGTGGGCCATAATGAGGTGACCTTAAAATTGGAAACCAAATGCTGAGGATGGCAGAGTAGCCCTGAATTGCCTTTTTTTAAACTTATTTTTCATTAAGAGAGAAATAAATTTCTATTGTAAGCTATTTTTTTTCTTTTATTTGCAACTGAATCTAATCCTAACTGATACATTCCCATTGCTTGCGTTCCATTTGGAAGCGAGTCCAGATCCTCCCTCAGTCAGAATAGGAAATTAGCAGAAGAGAGGCACTTCCAGGCAGAAAAAAAATGCTGGCCCTCCTTCCACAAAGTGTAAGTAACCAAGCTACCAGGAGGACAGAATGGGAGATGGGCCTAAGAATACAGTTTATTAGCTCACAGAGAGTATTGAATGCTAGATTAATAATTTGGACTTTACTTTGTAAGTCCCTTGCAAATAGGGAGACCCTGTCTGTCTTATCTAGCAATCCCTTCACTTCACAGATGCTCAATGAATGATTATATTCTTTATTTATTAATGCTGTTTGCTTAATAAACAAAGGAAATGTTGCAAGGTGGACCAGTTGGGAATCCCCATGTCATTTACCCTTATCTGCTTTCTACAGATGAAGTAACTGAAGCATCAGTTGCTGGAAGTGGCAATCAGCCTGTCCGTGAGGAACGGCAAACCGAAAACTCTACCTTGGGGATGACAGGGGTAGGGGTGACACAATCGAGAGACCTGACCACAAAAGGCAGTAGGATTGGCGTGTCCCCAAGATGGCTGCCCCGGAACCACATGACCGGGAGGGGGCGGAGCTCCGCCCCAGCACGTCCGGCCCCACCCCACTCGGCCCCGCCCAGCGCCCCCCTCCGGCCGGGGCTGGGGCGCGGGTTGTGAGGCGTCTCGGTGAGGCGCCTGCGCAGTGGGCAGCGGCCCGCGGGGCGGAGGCTTTATAACCACTTCGTCGGCAACGCTCGCCTTCTATCTCGGGGAGGGCGGCTGGGGCGGCGGCGGCCGGGGCGCCGGCTGAGGGGGCGCTGAGGCAGGAGCTGTGGCGGCGCTGGGCGCCCGTTGCCCCTCGGCCTCTGGGGACCATGGGCTCCGAGAAGGACTCCGAGTCGCCGCGCTCTACATCCCTACACGCGGCCGCGCCCGACCCCAAGTGCCGCAGCGGCGGCCGGCGCCGGCGCCTCCCGTTCCACAGCGTCTTCTCCGCCTCGGCCC